TAGACCTTAGTGTCTCTGCTCTGTGCCAGCCACCGAACTGAGTTCAGAGATGCAGTGTTGAACACCTAGATTCTTCCTGGTTTGTTCTCAGAGATGCACTGACTGTTGAAGTTAGCAAACACACTAACTCACCTCAGAGTCTGAGCCCTCAGTGCAAAGCTAGCCGGCTGAGTTAGGTTAGCACCCAGGCCACCACATGGACCTACCTCCCCAGACTCCCTCTCTGAACCTGAAACTGTGGATGGAGAGAGAGATGAGCAGCTGGGAGGCAGATGGAGAAAGTAAATTCAAGGCTGAGGAAGAGAAGCTGTGGATGGACCTGCTTTGGCAGGGACTCGCTGGCCTTTCCTGAAAGTTGCCCCCTTCCTGCACTCCTCACCCCTCCTATACCACTGGGTCGTCTGGAGAGGCAGGACACATTTTGCACAGAAAAATTAGTCATGACTTTCCTGATGACCTAATAGTTAGCTCTGTCCCTCCCCCTCCATCTCCAGCCATCAGACCTGGAGAGAATGCCAAGTCCAGGTGTTCATCCCAAGCTGAGTTTGGAGTTAGGATGGTGGAGACTGGGTCTGTGAGCCACAGCCATCAGATTTGTAAGTTGATAGTCTTAAACCAGGCTCTCTGGAAGCAGAGGGATTTACCGAGGGACCTCTCAGGATGTACCCCTCAGCAAGTACAAGGAGCAGTGTCAGACAGGGGAAAATGCTATGCAGACCAAAGTCGGGCCTCTACCTGGGCTTCCAGGGAAACTCTGGAGCATGAATCACACCTCAAAGCATATCCTGACCAGAGTCAAGCAGGATGGACTTCCGTACCCCCTCATCTGACAGTCACGGGCAGCAGTGTAGGGCCTAAGTTCCAGTCGGCTCAGGACAGTCCTCCCGAGAAGGGTCGGCACGTACTGTTCTTTACCAACACCCACAGAGGCTGCAGGGTAAGAGTGTCAGCCTAGTAAGGGGCGTCTGGGTTGGGTACCAACAGCACATGCCACAGTGATGGTGACTGAGGAGGTGAAGACGCCATTTTGGATCAGCCATTGTGGCCCTTGCAACAGAAGAGCAGAGGAAGCTGGTCAGAAAGGTGAGAAAAGAATGACCTGGAAGCTAGAAAAGAGCAGAAAGGAGAAAGCTGTCTGGAGGAGAGAGCAAGGAAGACAACGGAGAGAGAGGAAAAAAGAGCCAGAAGGGGTGAGAAAAGGTGGGAGGAGTCCTGAAAGGCAGTTTGAACAGGAAAGTCAAGATTTTTCATAGAAAAAAATTCACCCCCATGCTGAAAGGCATGTGGGTGGGAATCACACCTCAAAGCATATCCTGACCAGAGTCAAGCAGGATGGACTTCCGTACCCCCTCATCTGACAGTCACGGGCAGCAGTGTAGGGCCTAAGTTCCAGTCGGCTCAGGACAGTCCTCCCGAGAAGGGTCGGCACGTACTGTTCTTTACCAACACCCACAGAGGCTGCAGGGTAAGAGTGTCAGCCTAGTAAGGGGCGTCTGGGTTGGGTACCAACAGCACATGCCACAGTGATGGTGACTGAGGAGGTGAAGACGCCATTTTGGATCAGCCATTGTGGCCCTTGCAACAGAAGAGCAGAGGAAGCTGGTCAGAAAGGTGAGAAAAGAATGACCTGGAAGCTAGAAAAGAGCAGAAAGGAGAAAGCTGTCTGGAGGAGAGAGCAAGGAAGACAACGGAGAGAGAGGAAAAAAGAGCCAGAAGGGGTGAGAAAAGGTGGGAGGAGTCCTGAAAGGCAGTTGAACAGGAAAGTCAAAGATTTTTCATAGAAAAAAATTCACCCCCATGCTGAAAGGCATGTGGGTGGGCAGCTGCCAGAGAAGGCCAACTGGCCTGGACATGGGGTTAAGTGTTACATTTATTGTGGTAGTTGGTAATAAATATTTAACAGGGGAGGTCTGTCATGGGACTGAAGGATGGGACTGATTTAATTAATCCAGGGAGAGCAGAAAGGGCAAGAAACTTGATACTAACACTTCAGAAAGTCTGAGCCCTTTGAAATTTGTACCCCAAGAGAGGGATTTCTATCTATGGTCAGCACTGCTCCGAGATGCCCCAGGGGGAGCATCTTCCCAGCTGAAGCACTTAGTGATCATTGCTAACAAAACAGTATCCCTGAAATCAGCCCTCTTAACACTGCCAGCCCAGGACAACTCCCCTTTGTCCTTCATTCCTTTGACCCTATCGGCCCACACATATTTAATGATTAAAAACAGAGGTCCTTTAATATAGGCCATATTCTTTAATACTTTATTAATAATTCAAGTATAATAATAGGTGACATTTCAGCCGGCCCATTAGCCAACAGCAGTTTGAGTTCTGGCCCTGGAAGCATGAAGAATACACTGGGGAGACCAGCAGTTAGCGTAATGACTATGTAGCTGGACTCCCATGTAGTCGACCGCGGTTCAAGTCCCAGACCTGGTGGCTTAAACTCACACCAGATGCCTGTGCGTGCATGCCCAAGATCCCGAGAGGAGAATGGAGAAGGGATTGCGGCGTGGCCATCTCCCCTAGGGGGTGATTTCTCGCTTTCTGTCTCTCTGTCTCTCTCTGTCTTTACGGCGAGCACATGCACCCTATAGCAAAAACCTCTCACAAAAAGAATACACTGGACACGTGTGTGTGCATGCCCAGAATTTCAACAGACGGGAAAAACGGAGGAGCAGGGGTGAGACCTGACCACACCCTGTTGGGGTTGCTTTCTCCTACAGTCCCTCTGGCTCTCTCTGGTGAGTGTGCATGCCCTTTGGCACTTAAAAAAAAAAATCAACATTTATTAAGTATTTATAATGAGCCAACCACTGTACTGTGTTTTATCTGTGTTATCATCCATCCCCTATAACTGTATAATCATAATATTATTTTACAGATGGCAAAGCAATTTTAGAAAAGCTAAATTAACTTCCCCACAGAAATATAGCCAGTTAAAAAGCAAAGAAGGATTTGTTTGTATTCTACCCATCAGTGGCACTGTGCTAAAAGTGCCTAAAAACAAAAGGTACATTAAAAATCGGAACTCACGTGGTGACGGTGGGCTGGCTCCTACATGACTGTCCAAATCCTGGACGTGACAGCTTACACGTGTGCATGTGTGCCCAAATTCCTGACAGGAGAAATGGAGGAAAAGGGACTGTGAGTGACCACAATCCGTGGGGGTGCTTCCTCACTTTGTTGCTCTCTCTTTGATGAACTCACATACCATTTGGCAAAATTTTTCTTAAAAAAATCAGAACTCTGAAAACTGCCCGATAAACAGATATTCAGGAACCCGAAATGTCCCTGGCATAAAGCTACTTGTAGGTATTTACACGTAGTGGAACAAAAACCCAGGCAAGGCAGTGTCCCACGGAGAGAGGGACAGGGAGGGGGCAGAGGGAAGGGGGCAGACCCTCCCGCAGCTCTCCCATGCCACCATGTGGAAGATGGTGCAGCTGTGGCCTGTCGTATGCATTCATTCTTTTTCTTTCTGTTTTTTTTTTTTTTTTTGGAGAGGTTTTTGCTATAGGGCGCGTGCACTTGCCAGACAGACAGAGAGAGAGAGACAGAAAGCCAGAAATCCCCGCCCCCTCCCCTCCCAGGGGGGATGGCCACACCACAATCCCTTCTCCTCCTTTCTCCTCTCTGGATCTTGGGCACGCATGCACATGCGCCCAGCGTGAGTTTAAGCTACCGGGTCTAGGACTCAAACCACGGTCAACTAAATGAGAGTCCAGCGACATAGCCATTATGCCAACTACTGGTCCCGCATTCATTCTTCTTAGGGAGCTTTGAGGGCCTCTGGTCTGTGTAATGACAGCATTTTAATAGAACTTGCTTTTGTTGACATGTAGTCACTGTTGGTAGCCATGAACACTGTGTGAAAAATAGCTCTTCACATTTCTGTCTGGCTTTTGTGTCACTAAAAATTAGATACCGGTTTTTGGTCGGCGTTCGTAAGAGGAGCTCCTGAAAAGGCGGTTACACTGCAATTCTGAAGAAAGGAACAGAACTCAAATGCCTCCCCTTTAAACAGATACGGTGGTG